GTCTGAGATGTTAGTGCTAGAAACCCAGCTAAAGGACTGCTCTTGAGATTCAGAGTACTGTACATGATCATCATACAGTCCAACAGGGAGCTCATAAATCATCGAGGAAATCCAGGGGGAGCTGGTGGGAATAGTTATGTGTTTCTAGTCAATGGTTTATAACTTCACTGTTCCTCTGCTTAGAGTTTTGAAGTAATAATATAATTTCTATTAAGTCATTGCCTCCATATTTCTGTAGTATCATTTAGCAGTACACAGAGTAACATCACAAATCTTTTCCAAACAGTGCAGAAAAAAATCAAACTTCTCATTTCCTTAAGGATTTCATTGAAATGCATAACCTGTGAAGTTGGTTCCTAGTCACATTCTTACACCAACTTAGCACACTTATTCCAGTGTATGTTAAGAGCAATCTGAATGACTAACACCCAAGGTAAACTAGTGCAGAGAGCTATGAAGAACTGAGTCTGGCTCAGTGTTCCCTGTTGCAAGAGGAAAGCTGTTCTTAAATCCATGTACGACATGGGACAAATTTAATTTACAACTCCACAAAGGTTTTAAAATTTATGTCTAAATTTTTTTCTGTATTTTTGTCTCAGCTGATGTGGCTTCGTAGGAAGATTCTGAGGAAGACATAGAAGTCCTTTGGTGAATGTATACTGAATTTGTGTTATATAATGATTTGAATTTTATTGGTAACTATTACTAAAGATTCTGAAGTAAATTAAAAAAAAACGACCTGTAAGCCAAATCTACTTTATTTTCAAGAATCTCCAGCTATCACTCACATATCCTTGCCAAATGTGTCATTTCTCTTAGCAACAGTTTAGACAACTTTAACAAGTATTTTTAACCTGTAAAAGAAAGTCATGGAGCCCACTTCTGAAATCTGAAGTTCTGTGCAGATACCTAAGGGCTGGATTCAGTGATAAATTGCTTCCCCTCCTGACAAGACCATGGAAGCTTTTCTTGCAGGGAATGCTTCGTAATTCAGTGAAAGCGGTTTGGATGGATTTTTGTCTTTCCAGTTGAATCTGGCTTTACTTTCTTTCTAGTATTATAAATTATCGTATGTGTAATAAAACATGAGCACCTCCTGAGAAAAATGTTAATTCTACAGAGAAAGAGGCTGAGTCAAAGACAATAGTTGTAGATGGATTTATCTGTAATTTATCCACACTTTAAATTATCACCTAGGTTATCTTGGAGCAATGGCATCTTGGTAGTCATAGTTTTTACATAAAATGTCCAAAATTTCACTTGCAGTTTTGCCTGCAATTTGTAGTGCAGTCTTTAATGCTCTTTTAGATCCCTTTAAAAACAGATATTTTTGGAATGACAGATGCTAGCATTGGAGATAGTTAGCTGGCATTAACCCGTCAAAGTAAAAAACTGTCCAGTCTTTTGCAGCCACCTTGTCAGTGGTTTCTGTCATCCCTGTGGGTTGTATAATGCAGAGTGATGTGGCAACAGCTGAATCTGGTTGAATGTGTGCCAGAACCACAAATATGTTGCTGAATATAATGTACCTTTTTTCCATCTAATGAGCAAAAGCACAGATGATACACAGGGGTTCTCACATCCCACTCTATCTCTCATTCCCATCTTTGGATTGCCTACCAAGTGCTCCAAGTGCAAACTAACCTCTGAATTTGATATACCAGATGCTGCTATCGCATTTAAACTGTAACTTTTAAAGACATATTAATATGTCTTAGCAATGTAAGTTAAATAATCTCTTTACTCTTAACATTTATTTAATCAGGTGGGTCAGGCATATCTGCAATGAAATAACATTCTTAGTGTCCCCTTCTAAACCTTCTACACTATCCTATCCTCTTCAAGGCTCTCTTTTAGATGCTGAGTTTCATGGGGCAAGCATTATCTTTATTTATTGCTTGTTCAGTGCTAAGCACTCACTGTTTTAAGGTTAGTTATAAACTTCCAACAATGTACATATAGTAAGAATTTTACCTGACCCAGTGCCTCATTATTGTTGTGTAACTGGTTTTTTTTGATCTCTTAAAGGATTCCTTTTAATACCAGTGTGGTTTAATTCACCAATTCTTGAATTTTATTCTGGCTTAATAATTTTATAACAGTGGTTTGGATTAAAATTTAAGACAAGTTTTCAAAATGTCATCTTATAATGTGATACTTGTGTGGCCATCAAGAATGAAAAAGGGAATGTATATGTTCATTTGTTCCAGAAGGCTCCTATGTATAGGTAGCCTATAGGTTAGACTTGGAAAAAAAAAGAAAAAAAGGGAAAAGACTTGAAAACCTGTTTTTGTATCAGATCCACATGACTGGCAGGAATAAGACTGCTGATATCTCTGGGGGTGAATATCTTCAAATTTTTGGTAGAAATTGGGGAAAGATAAGGTGTCAGAAAGGAAGGCTGTAGCAAGTCTGATTTTTTCTGAATTTATAAGAGTTCAGAAGGAAGCTAGTGTAGTCATAAGCAAATATTTTATTTTCAGTATTCCTGGACACATCTTCCATTTAAGGAAGGCTTGGGATAAGGCTGGGGAACTGGAAAAAAACATGTCAGAGAGAGTACTATGGCGTAGGCAGGAGCATATGCTTCATATTAGGTATTCCAGTACAGATTCTTCCTCTCTCTACAGTACATGATAATTTTAGGGCTAGGACTGGAATCAGGTTTTCAGAAAAAAAGGTAGAAAGCCTTTTTATTCTCGTATTCTTCAAGACTGGCAGAGATAGGATGAAAGTTTGCATGATTGGGAACAAATGCCTTATAAATGGATTTGCTATACAAAGTGATCCCTTTAAATAAAACAAAAAATAGAAAATTAGGCTTATGTTTAGGGTGGCATTATGACCTAAAAGAGGGAGTCATCTTCCGCCAAGCTCACTGTTGGATTGTTTATGATCAACAAAGATTAAAAAAGAATGTTGTTTTCTAATGAATCTCAATTTTTCTTAATGAAATGCTCACTCAGTTTATTTATTTATTTTTTTGCTTAAAAGCAGGATTTAAGAAGAACTTGGCCATTGAGCCCAGCTTGTGTCTGGGTCTGGAATGGCAGGTTAACACCTAGAAGGGCGAATGCCGTTATCTGATACTGTGTGGAATACCTTGTTCACCTGAGTGGAAGGGTGGATATTTGGAGAGAATATTGGTGACTATGGAGTTACTCTCCTTAATGCACTTTAGCTGCAAGAACTAGTTCTGTGGCTATTTAATAAGTAGGATTAAGGCTGGGGTTTATCTCATATCTGGGAAGTAAAAAAGGTTTGACCTGGAAGTTTAGGATGACAAATTATATCAATAGCTGATATTTCATGTTTAGAAATTTCTGCAGGGATTAGTTCTACAGTTGCTTTTCAGGATAAGTTAAAATTAATTTTTAAGTTAAAATTAAGTTTTGAGTGTAGAAAATAAGTCTTGAAGAAGTCAAGGTCCTTTTGGGTTCTTTATGTTCACAAGTGATAAGAATATCCATTTCTTCACGTGCCATTAATTTGTGTTAGGTTTCACTCTAGCTATTGGTTACCTGGCTATAATCATAACCTTGTGATTGTGTGGGGGAGTGGGGAACTCAAACACACACAGTTTCCAAGAAGTTATCATACTCCATAGTTCTGCAGAAGTGCTTACAGAAGAAATTTTTAATAATGAGCAGCAATATATGATGTTAACCCAAGGGTTATAGAGAAGCTTGGAAGCTGGATTACGGTAAGTAACTGTTTTGAAGAACCAGTGAACAGGAATTAGTATTGTATGTTGGCAGAGAGTCAAAAAGGATTTTTAAGGGTAGGTCATGCTTCGCAAATGTAGTAGCATTCTTCAGATAAATCAATAAGCTTGTGGATAAAGAAATAATGGTTGATTTAGCCCATTAGGTTATATTTGAAGAATCTAAGAAGTCAGAGGATAAAAGAAAAAGACAGAATTCAGCAATAAATGGTCAGTTTTCACAGTGAAAGGAGGTTACCACTGAAGTATCCATGGGATTTGTCTTGGGGCCTACAATGTTCCCAATATTAATAAATGGTCTAGAAATGAGAAGGAGAAATTTTTGAGGTATCTTAGTTTGCTGACAATACTAAGTTATTCTGAATAGAATGATAGAATCATAGAACAGTTTTGATTGAAAGTGACCATTAAAGATCATCCTGTCCAAACCCCCTGCAATGGCCAGGGGCATCTTCAGCTAGATCAGGTTGCTCAGAGACACATCCAACCTGACTTTGAATGTGAAAGTTGTTCCAGAATTTCACCATCCTTATTGTAAAATATTTCTTCCTTGTAGCTACTGTAAATCTACCCTCTTTAAGTTTAAAACCAAAACCCTTTGTCCTAAGTCAACAAGCCCTACTAAAATGTTTGTCTCCATCTTTCTTATAAGCTGTCTTTAAGAATTGAAAGACTGCATTAAGTTTCCCCAGAGACTTCTCTTCTACAGACTGAAAAACTCCATCTTTCAGCCTGTCTTCATAGCAGAGGTGCTCCATCCCTCTAATCATCTTTGTGACCCTCCTCTGGACTTGCTCCAACAACAGCTCCATGTCCTTCCTGTGCTGAGGACCACACAGCTGGATACAGTGTTCCAGGTGGGGTCTCAACTGAGCAGAGCAGAGGGGCAGAATCCCCTCCCTCCCCTGCTGCCCACGCTGCTTTGGTGCAGCCCCGCACACGGGTGGTTTCTGGCAGCCAGTGCACATTGCTGGGTCATGTCCAGCCTCTCACCCAGCAGCACCCCCAAAGCCTTCTCAGCAGGGCTGCTCTCCATCTGTACATCCTCAGCCTGGATTGATACCGGGATTGTCCTGAGCCTGGTGCAGCACCAGCACTTGGCCTTTTTGAGGTTTGTGAGCTTGGCACAGGCCCACTTGTCCAGATCCCTCTGGATGGCATTCCATCCCTCAGGCATGTCAAGTGCACCATAGGTGGTGTCTGCAGATATTTTTAGGGTGAACTCAGTCCCACTGTTTCTGTCTTTGCTGAAGATATTAAACATTAATTTTCCCAGTACAGACCTCTGAGGGACATCGCTTGTCACTGATCTCCGTTTGGACATGGAACATCTATGATACCATTGAGCTGTCAACCACCACCCTCCGGATGTGACTACCCAACCAATTCCTCATCTGCCAAACAGTTCATCCATCAAATCCATTCCTCTCCAATTTTGAGGTAAGGTGTTTTTGGGGGACCATGTCAAAGGCCTTACAGAAACAGATGGCATCTGTAGCTTTTCCCTTGTCCACTGATGTGGTCATGCCATTGTAGAAGGCCACAGTCACTTGCTCTCCAAGTGCCTTAGCACAGCTTTTAGGAGGATTTGTTCCATGAGCTTTGTAGGCACAGAAGTGAATAGATAACATCATTTTACTGTGAAGAATTATAGAAAGGAGTAGAATATGTAAAGTAAAACCAGGAAGTGTCAATTTCAAAATAGGAAAAAGGAGGTACTTTTGCCTCATATTGCATTTTTAAGCTGTCAAGATTCTTGCAACAAGATGCTGTGGATGATAAAAAACTCTTGGATGTGAAAAGTCCAAGAAGAAACCATTGAGGACTATTAAAGATAGACTTGCTGCATCTGGTTAGTTGCTTCATCAGCCACAAATCCCAGGAGGCTGAAAAATATTCTGGGGAGTTAGTGCTGTATGTTACACTGTTCTCACACTCTTCCCTGGGATCCATCTTGGACACCACCAGGGATGGCTGCTGGATAAATTGGAAGCTTGATCTGATAAAATATAATAAGGGAGAGTCTTTATAAATTAATCTTGTAAAAAATAAACCAAATATTCAATGTATCTGATTATGCACATGTGTTATTTGCATAATATTTGGAAATTTGAATTTTCAAAATACTGCCATTACCAGTACAAAACACTTGCTATTCTTGTCATATTCCTATATGTTTAAAAAGACAATACATTTGCTTTAGTAAGATTAATTTGGTACTCTGCACTCTGAGAACCTTTTTCATATCACTTTATTTGGAATCAAATAAATGGTGTATTTTTTTCCTTTTGTGTAACTGTCCTCTTTTCCAAAGTCATAATTGAAAATAGAAAACTAATTAAAAGCACAATATATGTTACACATCATGAGTTGTCTTGCAACATAAATTGTAAAGTTGCCAATCAAGCAAGCCCACATCTAATAAGCACAGACTACTCAGGTTTAAGGAGCTGCTCTCTCAGTTATCTTTTTCTGCTTTTGCTGTGAATACAGTAAATTTACTACAGTGCCATCCCTCATGCTTTAGAATGGGACCTTCACTGGCTGAAATCAGCAATAGTTCTGTTTAGGCATTTAAAACAGTATCAGATAGTCATGAAGGAATATTTCGTCCTTTTAGTTGCATGAAAAACCTAAAAATTTATTGCTCAGAAATAAATCAAATGATTTTGCAAAATGTCAGGTGCAGAGAAACTTGTAGGAGCTGAGATCCCCTTTGACATATATGCTGTATGCTGGTGGTGATTGGCTTTCATTAGCTTTATTAGCTTCAGCTTCTTAATTTGTACTCCTGCCATCAAGTCCTGTGTCTCCATACTCTCACAGACACTCTCTATAGTCTGGGTGCTTTGTTGCTGTGTTTTGCAAATGCGGTAGAAAGTGGCAATATTAGATGTGTCCTTGGAAGCCCTGTGACTTGCAGCAGCAGAAAGAGTGATGATCTTGTATTTAGTATCAAACAATAGCTCACTATAGAATTTTCTAAACTACAGTTGCTTTCTCACCATGTCCCAGAACCAACCTGGCATTTCACAATAGAGGAATCAAATGTCTTTTGGCAGCATCTGATGTCATCATTGCTTAGGGCCTGATCTCAGAATTTGGCTGTCATGAGTTACTTCATCTACTCAGTTGTGTAAAACAGAAAAAATGTGGGCATCAGCAGTGCTGTGACCTTTATACAGTTTTCAACAGATTTAAAGAAGGCAGAACTGTTATTATTAATTTTAAACCACTAATATATATTGGACTTTTTCAATCCATGAGGCTAATGGAAGTCTATCACCAGAAGTATACACCATATTACTTTAAAGGAAGTCTCATTTAAACCCAAGAAGTAATAAGCAAAATGGCAGTAGAATGTGCTTGGAGAGAAGTATTGCACCTCATTTTGCACTGTCCTGCCATGGGTGATGTATTTGCTGCCTTGAGGGAAGAACAACTCCTATCTTGCTTTTGACATATTAGCTAGAGTTGCACTGAGAAGCAAAAAAAAATGATCACTTTTGGTGCTAACATCACTTTTGGTATTCAAAGTTATAGTTTATGTCAAGATCTGCTGAAATTCTTCAGAAGAAAATATTCTGTATATTATGCATGTATTACTAACCTGCCAAACCTCTGAGGCTATTGGGGTAAAACTGGGGTTTCTTTCACAGCTTGTGATCTGGCCGATCTGGTCTGTTTGTAATATACAATATTTATCACCTGTGGAGCTTGGCTGGTATCATAAATCAATTGGGTGCTACTTAAGTAATATTTGAGCAGGAGTTACCTGTAAGTGAATTGTGGGATGATTTCATAGTGTGGTCATCAGCCACAGATAGTTATGTGAGGAAAATGGACCAAAGCTTCATATCCTGATCCTTTCCTATATTCTACCTTTAGTAAAGTTATGTTGCTCCTGCTTCCTGTCTTATACAGGTACTGATTGAAAACAAGAATAAAGTGATTGTATAAGAAAGAGGATTTTTGTTTAATATAAGCTCTATACTAACAGACAGTAGGTGGTAAAAGATTAGCAAATTAATCAAGGCAGAACAAGTTTAAGATTTCAGAGGTATCTTCATTGTGAGTTGTCTGGTACATGTTGAAGTTTGAAAGTCCATTCTTTTGGGGACATGCTTAACATAAAGGCCTTTCTTTTAATGTTATCTTTCTGACAACAATAGTTGCATAATAAAATCTTAAAATGCAGTGCCTAAGGACTACAGTAGGAAGAGATTTGACTTACTAGCAGTTTGAACACAGTCTGCTAGTTGTGCTAAGCTTTCAGTTTCCAAATAAAATGTTTCTCTGTGTCCTTCTGATGGTCTTTCTTCCAGAAATTGGAGTGGTGTAGTTGGACCATGGAGTTTCATCAGTGAAACTGGATAGGTCTGTCCTCATCTGTTCCCAGCTGAAGCTGGGATTTTCAAAATCTGCAGTCTCCTTCTGTTACAAAAATCACAGTAATTTCTGCACACCTCATGCTACATTGTATACACTCAGAACCAGAATTTATCTCTGGCAAGAGCTGTGCTTCCTGAATTATGTTTGGCATGCCTGTTCTCAGTTGTGAAGTATTTATCCATTTCCTGGTGTCAGCTACTGAATCCAATGGGATTATGGTCCCTTTTAAATAAAATCCAATCTTGTCATCTGCTACTGAATTCAAGAATTATTATCACTTGTTTCATGGGTTTATCAACAGCTTATTTTGGCCTATTGGTCTTGAAACATTTTCATTACACCTCATCAGCACCTGGTTTTGCTAATTCATGATGTGGCTGAAGTTGAAGTGAAGGTGGCTGTGCCATCTAGTTTGATTTATATCTATTGCTGACTTAATAATACGAGCAAAAATGGCAGCTGAGCGTCTGTCTGCCTTTTTCTGTAATAAATGTACATAAAGAATCTCTGCATCTGCTAACTGATGCTGCAGATTGCTTTCCCTTCAGTGGAAGTCTTTCCAAATGATCTCAGAAGCAGCAAGAGTAGATGCTTGTGGTTGTTTTTCCTGGCGTAGCAGTGGTGTATGGAGTTGCATTGTTTCTGCTTCCTCTGTTTCTGTCACTGCAGTTTAGAGGTTGGCCATTAATTTTTCTGTCAAATTGCAGTCTGGAGCATATGTATTAGATGGCATCCACAATACATGGCACCTGCATGCCCCATACTGTTTGCTTAGTTCCGTATCAATACATTATCATTATCTTCCTTTCACTGATCACTTCAGCTGCTCTTTAAATGGCACGCTTCAAAGACTAGGTCTATTGCTTTAGAAATGTAGGACTTATTTACTTTCATTCTTTCTGAGATTAATTCTGGATCCTAAGAATGAGAACTCTGCAGTATAAACATTTCTTTCCTCAGTATTCAATGCAATTACTTATTCAGGTAAAGGCAAAACACTTTTGTGTCAACTGATACAAAGTTCTTTCTACTGGGCTTCTTTGAATAATTTGATGATCTGTTCCAGCATTTGGGGGCATTATTCCAGCAGGATTGTCCTGATCATCTTTCCTCCACTATAGCCCCTCAGCTTTATACCAATGAATTTTTTCTCCCTCTATTATAAATTCTGCAGCGAGACTTAGTTATGGTGTTCAGTTGTACTGCCTGTACAGAGAATTTGTCTGGAAATCCACCATGCCTGGCATCACTCCATGTTGATGATTTCCTTTGTTTCTCACCCTTATTTTGTCTCTTCATAAATAGTGTTTTCTATATTATTGTGGAACTCACAGCATCGACCTCTGCTGTCATCTTCCATATGCCACATGCTGAGTAGTAACATAAGAAAACAACACATTTCTTAAGGCTTTAAATTGAGAGAGCTGTAACAGAACTGAAGCCTTGTGGCAAGCCAGTGTTCCCAGATGGGAAAGACTACATTTAAGGCCTTTGGTGCTATTAATTTTTAAAGGCTGAAAAGAATGAATAAAGTGTGAGTGAGGCCTGATGGCTGACAGGGATGGAGGGGCCTGAGCTAACTGTGCTACACCAGTGCCCCTGACTTCTCCCTGGCTTCATCTTGGAGCAGTCTTGACATGAGGTCAGGGAGGCATTCCCAGTGGGAATAGACTTGCCAGAATATGCCTTTATACTCTAGTGCTGTGCTGGCAGTAATGTGGAGCTCAGCAGGTGAAGCGGAGGGGCTGTTACAAAGATGTTTGCACTGGGAGAAGCAGGATTCAGGTGCAAGGCTGCTGAGCTATTTTGAGGGTTTTCCACTCTTTTTAGCCCATTCTGATTAGCTGATATCTGAGGGCAATATTTTTACAAATTTATGATGAAATGTAATCATTCTTTGTTGCAATTCTGTCTATATTTACAAACTTCCAGTTCCCTGAGTGCCAGAAGTAAACATGAGAGGCTCATTGCTTTAACAGTCTCCTCAGATACTTGTCTACCCTAAGCTCCTCTTTCTTGCTTCACTTCTTTATCAAAATCATCCTGCA